ACCCACCTCTGCCACTGGCCTTTTAAAATAGAAAGGTTTCCTAAGGAGAATGTTTTCTCTCTAGCCAAGGGGAAAAACACTGGAAAGGCACAAATACCCCATTTAAAAAAGGAAGACACCCATCCTGGTGGGCATCCGAAAACCTTTCCAAGCAGGCTGAATTCTCTTAGGGTATCATTTCACCAGAATATAGTCTTTGAATCAGTCTCTGCATCAAAATGGACTGGAGGGAACGTTTCCAACAGATCTTTCTGCTGATAGTTTTGATTACTCTCTAGTAGAAAATTTCAAAGGCTTTTGCTAGACGGAAGGGGACATGGGGAGGAGGGGAGAACTGGCACGACCAGCAAACCCTTCTGAACAGACAGAGCCCAAAGCAGTGACAACCAGTTTTTCAATCCTAAATGCTTCCCAAATTAGTCCTTGGACCACTAGATAACATCAACAATCTGACAGAGTCCTTTAAGATATTGATGTAAACTCTACTGGAAATGTCCCTCATTAAAATTCTCTCCATTTTGCTGAAAATATTTTTTTCTCATGTAGACGCATCAGCTGTCTATTTGGCTCTGCTGGAGTCATTTGAAGAAACATTGCTTGACAGAGGATGAGACAGGGAGGGTGGGACAGAGAGCGGGAGGATGACTACCCAAGAAAGGGAGTAAGATCTGAATGGCAAGAGGGCCGCAGACAGATGAAAACATTAAAGAAAGTGTACCAAGGTCTCCTTCACCTCTGTTGAAACAACATCATCCACTTCAGAAGCCTGTTCAATTATACAGGGTGTCCCCCAAAAATGTATACACATTTTGAATGATTATAAAGTCAGAGTTTATTAACATACAGTTCACATTCAAAATGTCAAAGAATCTACAGAAATGGGTAACTATTTTGTCAATGCCTATTTTCAAACGATTGACGGTTCTGCTCCAGGCGCTGCTGATAATGCAAAGCAATGGACTCGCAAACATCAAGAATCATTTCATTAGTCAGAGAAAGACAAGTACCACATGATCTCACTCATATGTGGAATCTAATGAACAAAATAAACTGATCAATCAGAGAGATACAGAAATACAGAACCATGGAGCAGTCGGAATTTCAGAGGGAAGGTGGGGTGGGAGTGGGGGGAGAGATTAATTAAAGAACTTAGATGCATATACATGACCTATGGACACAGACAATAGTGTGGAGAAGGCCTGGGAGGGGGCGGGTGGATGCCTGGTGGAGGGGTTCAATGGGGGGGAAAAGGGGTACATCTGTAATACTTTCAACAATAAAGAAAAAAAGATAAAAAGAGAATCAGTTCATTGGGTATTTGTGCGCCCTCAATTAGTCTACTGTTGCCGGTTTTGTACGGTACATTTTATCTTTTATGTACCCCCATAAAAAGAGTCTAGTGGCACTTCAGGATAAATTTTCTTTGTTCAAAGCTTAGCCTGGCTTCACCCATTATTTCAAAGCAGTTAAACCTGAAAAGGAGTGAAAATTAAGTGAGTTATCAGCTGTTAAAGTGTGTATACATTTTTTGGGGGGACACCCTATTATCTTACTTTGATAAAGACAACTTGGAACCCAATAAAATACTGTACTAGTCTTATTATTCCATTTCACAGATGACAAAACTGGCTCATTTGGAACAAATACTAGTTTTGATGGATAAATCTCTGTGCTGAACAGGATTTGACTTTCAGGTTATTTACCTGAAGCTGGCTGCAGAGCAGATGCCTTTAGACAAGTCCACACTCATGAAAAAAACAGGTCTGTCCAGGCTGACCTTGTTTTGTTCTGCATTTCATTTTAGGACATGGTAGACCAAATAGAGAGGAAATAAAGTGTTTTACAGCAGATAACTCAGGATTCTTTAATACACGTCTTGTGTGGACAGAATTCCTTATTTGATGTTAGAAAGGACCATATAGAGTAATTAAGGACCACAGTTAATATAAAGTCAAAGCAGAAGCAGCCATATACCTTCAGACAGCCAGAGACAAAAATCAATATATTGGAAAATATCCAGGTTGAATAGTAGGCAAGAAACTTATTTTCACATTACCTTTGATTTTTGAGATAGGCCTAAACATTGAAATGATTAATTATTAACTTAATTAAAAATTTTTATGTGTGTTGATATAATTCATAATAAAACAATAATGTGATTATTTAAAATAAAAATTTAAAGTATTCTCTTCACTAGAAGATGTAGAAGTTTTGGTTTTGAGGAACTGAACAGCAAATAAAAAGAGTGGGTAGTAAGGAGGAGACAGGAAAATCCGCCAAGTGGTTTTTCTGAGTTGGATAGAGCTAGTTGAAATGAAAGCGGTTTTCAGTATATTCTTGTTTTCTTACCAATGTATAGTTTTATTATACTTAGATTTTAGAGTGGACATTTTCCTCTTTGTCCTGATATATTTTTTTAGAGTTTAGGATCAACTCCTCTCATTTGTGAGGTAAGAGCATATGCATTTTCTGCATGTCATACATGAGTATTAGCACTGTGCATATATTCAAATTTCATGCATATTTTCACTGGAGTATGGTAAAATAAATCATAAATCGGTAGGGAATGAGAGAAAGCCGAGTCGTTTAAAGTTGATTAAAAAAAAAAAAAAGGGTTTGATAAATTGTTTTAAAAAGCAAACAGCTTCAGATAGTAACTGACCCCCAGCCAGGGCTTAGCCTTGAGCATACTGTGCAAACCACAAGGGGACCTCAGTCGAGGTTTTCAGCAATCCCGGGGGCAGGAGGTGGTGGGGTTCTCTTCACCTACCTCCGGGAAGCCTAAAGCTTTCCATCTCCTTCAAGAAGGTTTCCCCTCCCCCGAAGGCGGTTTATGGTCACCTCTCCTTTCTGCGAGGCCCAAGGCTACGAGTGCCCGCCACCAACGCAGCCCTCCCTCGCCCCTCTGCATTTCTTTCTTAGATGTGGTTGCCTCAGTCCTGCCGGGTCCCCACCACTGTGCTGTCGTGGCCTCTCTGTGCCATTAAAGGCGAGAGTTCACGAAGCTTTTTATTCCGAAGCAGTTACTTTGGGAGCGTGGAGGCTTTAGCCGTGGAGCTAGAGGCAGAGAATTTGCCAACACCCCGGAAATCCTGGGAAACCGAGAGTGAAAGGTAGGTGGGGGGTGGCGCAGCTGGCGAGGCCCCCGACTGGACTGGGGGTTGCCTTAGGGCCTGGGAGAAACTCCTGGTGGCGGGGCTGCCACTGTCCCGAGCGCGACCCCGGCCGCCGCCCCGCGCGCTCCCGCCCACGCCTCCAGGTGTGCATTCCCCGCCCTTCGGGACTCTCCCGAAATTGCTCGTTTGCCCTTGCACCGTGTCACCGGGAAGGCGGAAGAGCAGTTTATAGTCACGGGCAGGGACAGCTAAGGGAGCACAGGCGCACTGGCTTCGGTCTGCAGACCCGGTCAATCGAAAACTCAGCAACAGGCGCGTGGGCACCTTTCTAGCAGCAGCGCCGCCTCTCCGCGCTTTGCAGCCTCGCCTTAGAGGCTGCGCTGGGAGAAACTTTGTGTCTCCTGGAAACTTTAGACGCTGAGTTACGAGGGGCCATACTGCAGGGGTGTTGCGAGCCCCGCGATGTTTTCCAGAGCTCTTCGAGTGGGAAGAGAAGAGCGACGAAATGAAAACGCAGCGTGTGGGGGAGCCCACTCGAGACCCGCCAGCTGCCGGGCGCCGAGGTGAGCGCCGGGGGGCCTGGCGGTGGGGATCCCGGGCTGGCGGCCGCGGGTCCCCCGCC